CCCCTCCCCTTGTTTAGATCCGTTGGAAGTACATGATCATCGATGAAGGACATCGTCTGAAGAATCACAATTGTAAGCTGACATTGATGTTGAATGGTTACTTCCATGCGCAACATCGGCTGTTGCTTACAGGAACCCCTCTCCAAAACAAGGTAGATTATTCTGCAGGATAAAAACAGTACAATTTCCGGTTATTAGCCTTACCACGATCATTTATGTGTTTCTTGCAGCTTCCGGAGTTATGGGCGCTGTTGAACTTCTTACTACCCTCAATCTTCAGTTCTTGCGGTACATTCGAGCAGTGGTTCAACGCACCTTTTGCGACTACCGGCGAGAAGGTTTGGTTATCCTTGTTTTGAAAATTTACAGCCGACAACTCTTTTCTTCCGAATTTCGACGTACCTCCTGCGACCAAATACTGTATAAACTTCAGGTCGAATTGAATCAAGAAGAAACAATGTTGATTATCCGACGTCTTCATAAGGTGCTTCGTCCATTCTTGTTGAGAAGGCTAAAGAAAGAGGTAATCTAGCGTTGTCTTCTGTTACCCGTCATCTTTACCATTTTTCGCCCGTTTTAGGTAGAATCGCAGCTTCCAGACAAAACTGAGTACGTCATCAAATGTGATATGTCAGCACTCCAGAAAGTGTTGTATAAACATATGCAAAAGGGTTTGCTCATCGACAGCAAACAAGTAAGTTAATTTTCGACTGGGAAAACAGCAAAATTTACACTTACGTTTAGCAATCTGGTGGGCGCGCACTGATGAATACTGTTGTTCACCTACGAAAACTATGTAATCATCCTTTCCTCTTCCAATCTGTTGAAGACTCCTGCAGAGCTTTCTGGAAGGTGGATGAAGTATCGGGGTAAGATTGAGATGTTTGGTGACAGGACGGTGAGATTGGGAGTTTCAGACAGGATCTATACCGTGTTGCTGGAAAACTAGAGTTACTGGACCGCATTTTGCCCAAACTGAAAGCGTCAGGTCATCGTGTGCTTATGTTCTGTCAGATGACAACTATGATGACAATCATTGAGGACTTCTTCAACTACAGAAGTAAGCTATGATCTGCAATTCCTTTCTGTATCTGACGTGTGACTTTTTTTCTAGAATGGAAATATCTGCGTTTGGATGGAAGCACTAAGCCAGATGAGCGCGGTCAGCTTCTTGAACTGTACAATGCACCCGACAGCGAGTATTTCCTGTTCATGTTGTCCACCCGTGCTGGTGGTTTGGGTCTAAACTTGCAAACGGCTGACACCGTCATTATTTTCGATTCTGACTGGAATCCACATCAGGTTCGAATTTACTCTATCTTACTATTCTACAAGGGGTATCTTCCAGGATATGCAAGCTCAAGATCGTGCGCATCGTATTGGACAAAAGCGAGAAGTCCGAGTGTTGCGGCTCATAACTGCAAACTCAGTAGAAGAGCGCATATTGGCTGCTGCGAAGTATAAACTCAATGTTGACGAAAAAGTAATCCAAGCAGGTAAATTCGATCAGCGTTCGACAGGGGCGGAAAGAAGGCAAATGCTGGAGCAGATCATTAGGTAAGATTGGCTTTGTACGACAGAATTGGTCAACGTTGACTTCTTTCCAGAGCCGAATCTGAAGATGACGAGGACGATGAGGTCCCTGATGATGAGACTATTAACCAAATGATCGCTAGATCCGAAGAAGAGTTCAATCAGTTCCAATCTATGGATATTGATCGCAGAAGGGAAGAGGCTGGGCAGTTGCATAGGTCAGTGTCGAAGAAGTACATCAGATTGTGCAGCTTAGCTTGGAACTTGCAGGAAACCACGTCTATTGGAAGAAAACGAAATTCCATACGATATATTGAAAGCATCTGATGATTTTGCTGAGATGGAAAGAGCTCAGAAAGAAGGAATAATAAAGGAAGATTTCTCAGCAACGGGAAGGCGACGCAGAAGAGAGGTAAATTTTGCATTTGGTTTGTGCCCTTTGGGAAGTTCTGGTAATAAGTTAAAGCTATTTTCAAGGTGGACTACTCTACAGATCTCATGTCTGACGATCAGTGGTTGAAGCAGATCGACGATGCGGTTAGTTTTTTT